CCCACTTACCCACACACACACACACACACACACACACACTGAAACGAAGGTAGCTGAACTAGTATGAAAGATAATTAGCTATATATGCCTATACATTTTCTTTTTTAGTTGAGTCTATATTTGAGGCAAGATAGAGTCGGATAGTCTTCTTGAAGTGTGTTGGCGTGAGACCTTTACAAGAATGAATTCCAGCTCCGATGATTGATGTCCGTCAGATGATGGACGAAAGCTCACCCCGTTTTTACCCGAAGCGGGGGAGGATGTCTCGTGGGCTGCATCAACCTGGACTTCGTATTAAAACCGAATGGCTGCAGTACAACGGGATTCAACCATCGTCTTCTGGTGAGGTCAACCAACGAAACTCTTCTCAATGCACTTTCGTAGGAAATGAAGATTTATCCAATAATATGACTAAGCCGCGAACATAGGATCAAACGACTTCTGTATAACGAAAGGAGACCGCGACCATACCTATGACCACACCGTCTTGGTCTTCATTCATTCTATTAAGGCATTGTTCGAAGCCAGCTTTCTCCACATATGTTAAATAAATTTACAGTCCGATCCGGAGTAGAAACACCAATTAATGAGAAACTATACCCCCTTTGGGAAACAAGGAATGGGGAAATTTCAGCCCATCATTAAACATTTCACTGCCAGTCCTTACCTCATCTTAAAAGACCTTCGCTGACTGGAATTATTGTTAACGCTCAACCGAAATCCTCTTTATCCTACACACGTAATAACTAGTCAGTATGTTCAATATTTTTGGTAGATCTTGAATGAGAGCTATATCACCCCAAGTCACAGAGCCTGATATTTGAATTGCCCCATAATGGACTGAGTAGACACGACGGTAACATGGACGATTGTGCCATTAGTCGAGTGGATAGACAGAGCAAGGAGAGAACAAAAATTAATGCTATTTACCCATTTATGCGACCTTGGGCGACTACTTGCCTATCCAAGAATAACGAATGCTTCCAAAGCATATCTACTTCAGCTGGAAGCAATTTCGTCGATTGTAATGGAAAATACGTGAATTTAACATCTGCCCGTTGACCCACTGGCGCCCACATAATGGCATCTTTGGGGGCGGATGGCCAAGTGAACTTCAAATAAAACTTAACGTTTACTCATAGAATGATGAGGTAAACTACACTATCAGTCCATAAATCATCCTAAGCTACCTAAAGTTGCATAGGTTTTATCTAACCATTACTGCAGTTGGCGCAACCTACTCACGCATAACCGAAATTATCACATTTATTCACCCGAGTGCATTTGCATCATTTCATTCCTGAATCGGCCAAGAGACTGGTCGAGCTCAAGTGGTCTTCTGCTGTTCTATATGATCGTCGTGATTCCCAGACAAAGCCAAACAACAATGACATGCAACGTTTGAAACCCGATATTCCAGTCGTATTGCTCCCACTTATTTTAGCTGCACCAACTAGTCTCATATGCTTGAAATCCATCTTGCCTTATTGCTTTTATGGCAGCTGTAGATGATGAGACAAGTTATCGAACCCTTAAAATTTGCCTCGATTCATCCGCCATTGCGTATCTACTCAGTTAAGGCAATTAAATCACCAATATGAGATGTATTCACTCTATTTCGTTTAAGGTGATGAAATACTGGTAGCAGAATTTTTCCACAATGATATGAGTTGAGCTGACGTTTCCATTGAATTTCACGAACCCTTGCTTTCCCAAAAGTTATTCTCACCCAAACTGAGGTGGACTGTAGTTTCGATCTCGCATCGGTTTTATCAACACCTCCAGCGGGAGTCGAACTGTGACTGTAATGTGAGGTTGATACGTCAACCACTCGGCCACTTTGCCGCAAGTGCCCTTGGGTCACAGGACATATGTGAATTTTAAGAAAGGTTAGGCCTTTTGGTGGGATTGTCGATGAAGCAAATGCATTATTTCGAAGCAAAGTTGGGTTTCAAGGAATCTCTCGTTTCATAATTGTTGAGCTTAATTTCATTTAGAGTGGAAGTGTTTGATGAAGAGATTCGAAGTTTGATTCGACCAGAAAACGACGGCGGATTCCTCTTGACTAGCTGTTGATTGGCGTTGCTGGAACATTCATGGTGATGCTGTTTCCGAGGTAATTTCCTTCGATTCCAGTGAAAAGGTGATAGTCTTTCGTCCCTCATATGACGAATCTAAGAATATTACCTCAGAAACAAAGTCACCATGAATGTTCTAGTAATGCCAAACGAAAGCTGGTCAAGATGAATCCGCCGTCATCTTCTGATGGAATCGACCTTCAAATCTCTTCACCAACACTTTACTTCGAAATCGAATGAGCTCAACATACGTATTTTTACTGATTTACTGATTTACTGGTAGTCTCGAAACTCTATTACATACGAAAAATAAGTGACGTAGTCCATTGTTATAGCAAAAATACGTTTGCTTCATCTACAATTCCACCAAAGAATTTGATATGTGAAAAGGCCTAACTTTCTTTAAAATTGACATCTGCTGTGTGACTCAAGGGCACTAGTGGCAATCTGACTAAGTGGTT